AAGATGATGTTTCACAAGAACACAAGAACACAGATTGAGAAAGGCCCCATGTCTCTGACTCCTGGACCATCAGCACTGGTTCCCCTCAAGGTTGTGTTCTTTCTCCTCTGCTCTTCTCTCTGTACTGTACACCAACAGCTTCACCTCCAGTCACCAGATCATCAATGTCCTGAAGTTTATGGATGACACCATCCTCTTTGGGCTCGTCTCTGGTGGAGATGAGTCCGCCTACAGGTAGGAGATCGACCATCTGGTGACCTGGTGAACCCAGAACAGTCTGGAGCTCAATGCTCTGTAGACAACGGAGATGGTTGTGGATTTTAGAAAGAGCCCAGCCCCACCATCCCCCATCATCCTGAGTCAACACTGTGGACTTCTTCCGCTTCCTGGGCACCATCATCTCCTGTGACCTCAAGTGGGAGCTGAACATCACCTCCATCACCAAAAACAGCAGAAGATGTACTTCCTGCGGCAGCTGAAGAAGTTCAGCCAGCCAAAGTCAATGACGGTGCACTTCTACACCGCCATCACTGAGTCCATCCTCACCTCCTCCATCACCATCTGGTACGCTACTGCCACCGCCAGAAACAAAGGCAGACTGCAGCGTATCGTTCCGTCTGCTGAGAAGGTGATTGGTTGCAACCTTCCATCCCTCCAGGACCCGTCCCACCCCCGACACAAACTGTTACAGTCACTCCCCAGTCTTACCACTGTTCCAACATTCACTAACTCTGGTTTGGTCAAAATAAACCCTTAATTCAGTTAGAATTAAGAGTTACAGTTAGATGTGAAAATATTCTGTCTCTCTGATGCCTGACCTCTCTCTCGCTCCACTCCTGCTTGATGCCTCTCCCCGCCTGAACCCGATGTGTCTTTGTTGTCCCTGGAGTCAGAGTGCTGGCCACTGCCACTGTACATGACCTGGGTACTGTATTCCCTGTCGTTGTCAAACTGGCCTCCATTGGTGTCAGAGGCTAAGCCCGGTTCTGTTGCCCACACGCCCTGCTCTGGTTCTGCTGCCCATTCAGGACTCAGCTAATAGGACCACTAAGTTAGCTGCACGTTTAACTGAGCTAGCAAGCTAATGTCAGTTAACAGCAGTTAAGATCCGATATGTGATCTGCTGCCCCCTATTTTATTTGGAGTATGAATTTGACAGATAGAGAGTAGTGTTAATTCTTATTGCACATTTAAACAGATGTTACAGGAGAGGTCAACAAGCCACAAGCGCATAAAGTGAAGATACCTCAAATTAAGAATAATAATAATTTAAAAAAACTATTACAAAAAACATGATTTGGTAAACTAAAATAAATGAAATGCCATCATTGAAATACTAATATAATTAACGCATTCTTAATAGCTTTTTTTTAATGTATCAATTAAATATAATTACACATTACACATTGAAAAATCTCTGTCACACTGCAGACTCCATAGATTTAGCGATACATCTTGCCAAAAAATGCAATAGTATTAAACAGACATCAACTTTTATTTTTTCATTGGTCATACTGTATATTGCATTCATTTTGCATGAATTGATAATTCATATATTTTCACATTTTCAGTTTCATATTCCTCATAATATATTTTGTTGTAATTAGTGCCGCTGTTCAGCTGCAGCTACAGCTTAGTTTGCTTTGCCACAGGGATCATGAAAGGTTAAATTTACCTCACAAAATCTATAATTGTATTATCTCAGCAGCAATTTGTCTAAAATTGATGGCAACAAAATTGTTTCACATTCACTCTAATTAGACTGAAATAACAGGGATAGTGAACAAATCAATCCAAAAAGGTGTTTTATTCTTTTTTTGTCAAGGACCACAGCTGTCTTAATATGGACACTATTACTGTGCACATGTGCAGAGTGGGAGTAAAATAGAGAGAACTGTATCTGTATTGTTGTCAGTAGCTTGTAAGAGGATCATGTCCACAGGCCTCCAAATCTCCTTTATATTATTACTTACAGTAGCTAGAATCCCAAGGGCTCTCACTTACACACACTACCACTCCTACACACACATATACACCCAAATCACACAGTATACGTTTGGCTTCTCTGACTGCTCATTATTTTTCTTACTGCTGAGGTTTTATCTAAAAAACATGTTGAAAATATGATGCGGTCGACAAAGTGGTACACCATAACACGCCATATCACAGTATATTTGCTCTGCAGCAGTAAGGTTAGAATCAGAATCAGCTTTATTGGCTAAGGAATTTGACTCTTACACTCTAACAAGTATATGTATATGAAACATACAAATATATGTATATCTACATGCGTATATTTACAGTGCATGATGTGCACGATGATATGTATGTTACACTGTAAAAATATAATCTATAATGGAAATAAGTGGATGTTTTGGTGTTACAGGGTCACTGTGTGACTGATGTTAACTGTTCCTCAGAGTGATGGCTTGTTGGAAATTGATAGGGTCTGGGTTTCTTTGGTGTACAGTGGTGTACTACTAGAGGGGAGAAGTTGAATCGGGTTTTTGTCCAGGGTGTGATGGGTCTGCAGTGAAGTTTCCTGCCCATTTCTTGACTGTAGAGATGTACATGTATGTCCTGAATGGAGGGCAATTTGGCACCAATGATTTTCTCTGAATGTCTGTTGTGGTCTGTTCCTGTCCTATTTGGTGACCAGATTGGATTATTATTGCAGTGTACAACTGGATCAGCAGCTCCTGACGCAACTTCCTGAGCTGGAAAAGGAAGTATATCCTCTGCAGGGGCTTACTGATAGTTGTGTCAATGTTCGATGCCCAATTTAGGTCCTGGAAGATTGTGGAATAGAACCCAATCAATAGAATGGCAGGTGTATGAAATGATCACTGCCTCGTTGCAAGTGTGTTTGTTTTACTTCTTATAGCATCCCATCTTCAGTATATCTTTAACTGAGAAATGTTTGAGCAGAAGCAGAGCAAATCTAAGTGACCTGTCATAAAAGAAGTGGATGTAGCCACTGTTGTGTCACCCATTGCTTTGTGGACTACCATTCTGAAGCCTCAAGTTTGGCATTTTGGCTGTTGCCATTTGGAATCAGAAATGACCATATATGGACAAGAAGATGGAGCTAGCTAGCTTGGTTAGTAAGTTGCATCTGTAATTCATGTTAACTGTAATATTAATTGGGATAGTAATTTTGGCCAAAAAAAATAGACTTAAAACAAAATGTATTTACTGGATTGTGTTTTAGTACAACCAACTGCTGACCAAGAATTTTTTTGGCGTCAAAAATGTTGCAATTATCTTTCATGAACTGAAAACACACTGAAGGGGTAAGGACATCTTGACTCTTGGTCAAGGCCCTATGGCGTCACTTTTTAACGCCCTGGGTACCCCTTTAGTGTCAGTTTTAGACATTTTAGGATTCAAGTTAGCAACGCTTAGCAACAACAAATATGCAACGTCTGGTAAAGTTAGCAACAATAAATATAATAGCGTTTCAAAACATCGCCATTTTGAAACAGCACATTATTAAAGTTGTGAAAAGTTGGAATTTGGTTAGGTTTAGGCAACAAAACTACTTAGGGTTAGGAATAGACTAGGGCTATGTTTACTATATCGTCTACGGACCTGTTGGCACCTGTGAGCGAATTTCAAGAGGTCCAGTCGTGGGTCTGTAATGGATTTGAGGTGCGACAACACAGGCTGCCCAAAAGACTTCATTCCCACAGAGGTCAGGATGACGGGTCTGTAGTCATTTAGAGACTAAAGAGATTAAGAGATTAAAATAAAGATAGACCTTTTCCAGTGTGATTATAAAATAAACCATTTTAACCTCTCATAACGGATGGCAGGACTCTAAACAAAGTACGATCCAATAACAGTACACACATTAGCCAACAACAACTTACCTCATTCACCTCTGGGAAAGTCTGGGGTATCAATAGTTGAGCGATTCCACTCTGCATCCTCTGCCCTAGCACTGGTCAGCTATTTCATTTTAAATAAGTGTGTTTAAAAAGGAATTGTAACCGCAGAGAGTGATTCTGATTTAGTTCTTCAGTCTTCCTCATTGTGTAAAATTGACTATGTAAAAACCTTTTAAATGATCTTGTATTGCAGTTTGTGGGAGTTTTGTCAGGGTGCGGCAGTGCTGGGCAGTGGACCAGCCTCCCTCTAATGGTTTGGAACTCACTGCTGCTTGGTTGGCCATTGCACTGATTTAGCTGCCCTCCAATCAAAGATGGTGTTTACTTCAAGTTCATTTATCATTTAGAGAAGTGGCAAACAGGCTCTGTTTTTTTTTCTTGGGAGGGCAGCTGCTACCTTACCCCCCTTTTCAGCTTATGGCTACGGAGATGGCCCTCTGAGAAAATAGCACACCCCTCTGAAATTGAACCTGCTCTCTAGTGTTACTAGAGCAAGGCTGTTTGGAGGCGATAGAAGAGGGAGGAGGGTTGTTCGTCCGCCTCAACTTCCATTAAAGACAAGCAAGCAGGGCAACCTCGAGGCCGTTGATTAAGCCCCACTTTGCGCTTTTTCTGTGAATGAACAGGAAAGAAAAAACGTTGAGGTGTAAAAAGCAATATCCCGAAGGCTCGGTGGGTTATTCTTGGTCACAACTCTTTCTCTGTTCTGAGACCTTTACTTAGTCACCTCAATTAAACTGCACCACCCTGCTCTAATCTGGGGCTTTCTTCCACAGCTCAAACAACATGACAGAATACATTTCCATAGTAACGCCTAGGGAGTCATCGCATCACGGAGGAGTTTGCCAGTGTGTGTGAACCTGTGTGTGTATGCAATTGGACCGAAACGCACGGTAGAATTGGAAGCCTGTTTGCTTAGAGGCCATCTCCAGGGAGTCTATTTGCCAAGGTCTCTTGCTGAGAAGGTTAGCGGGGCGTCTGAAAATGATGAGGGCGGTAGAAAAACTTAGTGCTTCAGTTGGAGACAAGACCGTGTTCTGTTTCTTGTCTAAATTTCAGATCGAAGTGATTGATGTCCCTGTTCCTGTGTTTCTTCTCTTCACCTTACAGCACAGCCGAATCCACCGAAAATTCACGAAGGATGGTGGGCGTACAAGGAAGTGGTGCAGGGGAGCTTTGTTCCAGGTAAGCCTCAAAACAGTATGTAGCACTTTGATGCATTCCCACAGAATACTGATTTCCCTGCATACACTTTAACCACACTGTGTGCTTGATCCTGAAGTCGGAGCTTATTACATATTTAAGATAACATCGGGCCACCTTGCCGCTGGCAGTAGTTTTATTTTCTCAATCTTACAAGACCTCTTCGGCCTTCACACACAGATGACGCTTTTTCACTGATTGATTGATGGCAGCTCACTGTTCCTTCCACCTTTTCCATCTTGTTATGTATCTGCTTGTCAGGCCAATTATTTTCCTGAGATTGTGTTTTTCTGCTGCGTTGAGGTGATTTTGAGAAAGCCTGCAGGTGGCTGTGCATGTGTAGGCTGTATATATGTATGTAAGGTAATGCCCATGCTTATGAGGACCAAATGTACGGATCGAACAATTAGGAATTTTAGGAGGTTTTTTTTGCTGGTACTCACTTCTATAACAATCAAGGTTAGCTTTACTTTAAGGGTAAAGGTGAAGTGCAAGTATCAAGTAATAATGAGAGGTAAAGGTTAGGGTAAGGTTTGAGTTTTGTAGTTTTCTATATTCCCAAGTAATGTAGGACCTCATTAAAACCATTAAATTGGAACTCTAACTCTGCTTCAACCCTAAATACATGAGTTGCAAAATTATACAGAGCAACTATTGCTTTCAATAAACTCTTAGCGCTTAGTTGCTGAATGCTCCATAGTTACAGACATTTCCCTGACTTTATGATATCTTTTAAAGCTACAGTGCCAATGTCACTACAGAGAAGAATTATTAGTTAAATTATGCATGTCTGAATTCCCAGGATAATGTAACACTACTACTATTATGTGATGATTTATTTACTAAGGCTGCCTTCATTTCATTTGCATTTTGCATTTATTTATACACCAACTTTTCCACCTCAGCCGAATGTTTGGTTTTTTTTATTTGCAGAATATCTGGCCTTTGCATTTGGGTTTTTTTAATGTGCAAATGGATGGAAATGCCATTGCTGGCTTTTTTGTTAGCTACTTTATTAGGAGTTAGTAAGCGTCAAGCAATGCTCTTTATCCTATCCTCTAATGCTTGCAAACTATGCATGTTTGCACATTTGTTGTGAAAGACCAGGCCAGTATCCCTAGGAAAAATCTTCACCTCATAATATGCATCTGGATGACCTTTAATAATAGCAGAAAGTGAGGGTGCGGAGGTCAGGGTGGTGGATGGGCATGACAGCGTGTCTGAGTTTCTGTCCCGTTGCAGCTTTTTTATTATTTGTTCCCTAACCTGAACTATAATATTGTTTTAGTTGGCTAATCTTGACCATACCGTAGTTGTCAAGTGCAGATATTTCATAAAGCAAAGGCAGTGGGGTGAGATATAAGCAGCCATCACAGCGGAGCGTTAGAGACCTTTAAATTAGGGCAATCACACCGCTCTTAGTAAAGTCCTAATACGTTCTCAATGGAACACTCATATTTACAGTCCCCACCTTGACACACATTAAAACTAATGTTTGCCCACTTACTTCAATACAGTCCAAGTCTTTGTGGAGCTAGCAGAGCCAGCCAGTCTAAAGGTGCTTCCACATAGCTTAGATATTCAGCCATACTCATGCAGTTTCTACTAATTTGTGAATTGTTTTCACACTAAATAGAGATTAAAGTTGGCATATTATGGTGACTGAGAGACTGACTTTAGGGAAAGGGCCTTAGGGATTAAAAACATTAAATTAAGGTAATGTGGTGTTGTGCACTTTCTTATAAAGAACACTAAGGCTTCCCAGCATGTCCGAGCATACATATTAACGCCTGTTTGTCCTTCCCTCTGGCAGCAAGCACTTGGTGGTTTGCTGCCGCGTTTATATCTCAACTATCTCTCCGGGACATCCTTGTAAAAGAGATTAAAAATCTCAATGGATTTCTTTCCTGGTAAAATAAAAGATAAATTTTTTTTAAAAACTATCTCTTCCAGCAGTTCTCCATGGCGCACTTGCTTTGCTAACCACCGTACAACAGCTGGAGCAGTTAAATACTGTTCACGATCCTCCTGTGGCAGTGCGGAGAATTCCCTACCCTAGTTACCTTCTTCTGCAGATGGCAGGGTTTCATAGCTGGGATATTAAAGAGAAAGGAAGGGTTTTCACTGCAAATGAAGCCTGCTTTAATGATGCAGAGAAAAAAACATGGAACGTGGAATATATTCTTATTGTACTCAGTCTACTTGGACAGTGAGTGGTGATAAACGATTTCATTGGAAACTGAACTGTTTGTGCACTGGAATTTTAGTCGTATGTTACATGCACATCATTCAAAGAAAATACTCCCTTAGAGCAGTAATCCATTATAATGAGTATTATGCAACTCTTCCTCACCTACACTTTAGCTATTTTATATATTTCTTATTAGAAATGATCAGTGGAAGAACTCAGGAGACAGTCTAGTTTTTGAATATTTTATCATTTGGCAGTTATAGGGGTTCTTAAAAAAGTTGTGACTATGAATGGCAGCCAAAGTAATATTGTAGAAATTGAAATGGAGATGATTTATAATATCAGTGTAAGGCTCCAGGCAGCTCTGTAGTAGTGCTACCAGGGCTCTGAGCCCTCTCCACTTCTTTTCACCTGTTAATGGCCCATTTCTCTTCCCTGAAACGTTTCACAGTGGAGGTCAAAAACTGGAGTCCAGCATCTTAGAACATTTGCTCCCCAAGGTTGGAAAAGCAAATGTAATCCCATTCTCAGGCTTGTGTCACCACGGCTGACCTTTGGAATATTACTTATCCTTTCTGAACTCTCTCAATTAGATTTAAATTTGGTAAAGGTCAGATATAACTCTACGTTCTGCACCTGTTTCCCTTTTGCTCTCACCTCCTCTTTATGTCATGTCTTAGTGTTTAACTCTTGCAGTCAGTCACTTTCACTCATTGTTGTCAGTCTTTCTACAGTGCAAAAATTTATTCCAGAGCTGTTCATTTCATTGTAACGACTAGAAGCACACAGGACACATGTGATGTATGTAACTAATCCGCTCATTTGTTTGTGTCTGGTGTATGGTTTTATAATTCAACTTTAATTTCCATGCAGTGCAAATACGCAAAGAAATTATCTAATTTTCCCAGACTTACAACTTGAGTGCCTGCTGTGTTGTAAAAGTCTATTTAATGTGTTAGAATGTTAAAAACAAAAATGGAATGGAAAAGCGGAGCCTGCATTTAAGCCAGCTAATAAGCTGCCACTGTAATGCTCCAATTATTGAATGTAACAAGATTACCAGCACTGATAATAAGTATTATTTTTGAGAATTGTGTAGATAATAATGATGGTGCTTTTGACACTACACTGTAATGTACAATACGAAAACCTGTCTTAACTGCAGTGTTAAAAAGAAGTGCATTTTATGCATGTTAGTACTTTGAGACTACACATTTCTTGAGTACGTTTCCAGGATCAGTAGTTGGGTCAATGCATTATGGTAGCAGAAGGAGGCCTAATGCCTTAATGTGATTTTAAACCCTTTCTTATACCCTGCCTCTTTTATTTTGCTGGGAATTCTTCATTAAACTGAAATCTAAAAGTCTTTGCTGCTACCTTCCAAGCCTGTAGCCAGGCTTTTAGAAAAAACGATGCCTTGAATCCAACTCTAGTCAAAATTGACCAGAATGACGGTTGTCTTGAAGGCACATTTTTGATGAATGGTTGTTGTCAGTAATAACCTCAAAACATTGTGTTTTTTATAACTGCTTCATAATTAGGGTTTGGGTACATTTATCCCTCCATGTGGTCACAATCCTCCCAGTTGGGGGAGATGTAATGGGTCATCAGTGCAGAGTTTGGAGAAATAGGGCTTTCCCCGTGTAAAGTCCCATCAGTGGCTTATGACAGAGCTGTGGAGGCAGTAGTGGAGGACGATGAGGAGGAGGATGGAGGGAGGGAAAAGCTACGGAGAGGGCAACTGCGGGGCAGAGAGTGATGAGAGTGCTCAGAGAGACTGACACAAGGATGCTTTTAGGGAGATAATGGGGTAATAGATAAATCGCTCTGGCTTTTAAACACACACACACACACACACACAGGCACACACAGGCATTATAGCCAATATAGTCACAGCTCTCCATTGGATTTTTTTGTCCCAGGGATCCATATTAAAAGATGTTGTTATTGTTAATTTAGGATTAAAATGTTTAAATTGAGGATTAAAATGTTTAACTCCCCACTTATACTGTATGTGGAAATAATTAGGATGAGTGATGCTTATAATTCTGTTAGTAATTGTTACACATCCAATAATTAGGCTAAATTCTAGCAAATTAAAGCTCTTACATAATTCAAAGGATTCAGAATTTAGAACTGTTTTCATGACATTTTACAGATACATGCAGTTCAGCTTGAAGGGCTGCTTCACCCAAATCACAAATTAACCAAATTTCTTTTACCTTGAGTCATGGGCATGTAGACTGTGGTTTTGGTTTGTTGATTGCATGAGATACTCTAACTGCCTCTACTCCAGTGCAATGGAAGTACTACAAATGGAATTCAAAATTCAATAGCTACTTCCCTTTTCAAGAAATATGGGACCAGGAGCCACTTGTACTGACCAGATTTGTTCTTAAGAATGTATGAATGATTTGAGATACCTGGTTGCATTTTTCACACACAGTTTTTCTTGTATTTAATTTTGAATGATTCAGGCCTGTCATATGAGTTTCACACAAATGGCCGCTTTTCATTTGAGTAGTTTCTAGGAAATTCTCATCAAACAAAAACAAGCATGAAATTTTGAGGAATCTGACATCATGTCGAACCATTAACTTGTTATTTCTGTCACTGTACAGCTTTGAAATGGCGCGCCATTGCTTATTAATATTTGCTTATTAATATTGTTTCATGTCTCTAATATGCCTGCTGACACAGCTACATTTGTTCTTTTTTCGTCTGCTGATTTCCGACAGCAAGACTTGAAGCTCCGCAATCTGAATGAGTGAAACAGGTACTGTGGCCAATT